TATTCAGGAATTTCACATCTATTTCTGACACTTCTGAGAACAGAAGTCTTTTTATTAAAAACATATTTTTTCGGAATCCACACAGTTTATTTAGTCAAATAATAAGCTGTAAAAATTAAAAAATATTTAATTATGCTGCAGAGTACCGTGCGTTTCTTATGCTATAAAATAATCGTTGGCCATTAGGGACCGTTGATTTGCAGTTTCTCCCGTATAATTTACGAAAAGGGCTTTTTCTTAAAGCTGTTAAGATTTAAGACTCCCAAAAAATATACGCTTACAACAAATTTTTTTCTCTCATCTCACAACTTCATTCCCAGAGCAATAAAATTCTGGAGCTTAATCTCTACATTTTTTATCGCCACAAAAATACAAATACATTTTCTACTTATGTAAAAATCTGAAAGATACATACTTATATTTGAAGTTTTTCTTCCAAATCACCTTGTTGCGACTTCTGACATGCTTAAGTCTTTTGTGACCCCTAAAGGCTGTTTTCTGTTAACTCTATTAAATTCTGATATATTTGTTGGTAAGGTAGTTCAACGTCCGATTGCCCTAAAAAAGATCGGTGAGCTTCTAAAGTGTACTCTTTCTTAACTGAAGTTAACAGCAATTGCGACTGCCTGGATACCTCAGGGTAATCTTTTCTGGCCAGCTGTTGAAGCCCCAGACTGATCAAGAGAGAAATTACAAAGTTCGAAGCTTTGGAGCTATTTGTAGAGATCTATCCCAACGTCTCCTGGTACAACGTCGAAGATTTTGGTGTTTAACGCACCTTTTTTTTTGCAGACTTAGTTGTTTTAGTGATCTAAGATGGGGAGATTGGATCGTAATTCTCGTTGGAGACTGTCCAGTTGGTTCAAGTTTATTTGACCTGCATAGATGTTAGGTACACTTAGAGCAGACCTTGGAGAGGATTGGTGATTCCTGGTTGAATGCTTAGAGTCAAGAGAGTAAGTAATAATATAAGAGAGTAAGTAGTAATATAATGTAGGATTGTTGGTCACAAGAGTTCTCAGCCTTGCGAAGAACAACTCTGCTCATAACGACTGCCAGTGAATGACTGACTTGGTTTAATAGTCGCCGTCTTTAGTTAACATAGTCTTTTAGTCGATGAATCGCTTCCAAAAGTGGTAGTAAGAATGTATTTGTTGGCAAGGTAGTTTAAACTTAGGTGGCCCTTTAAAGAACCGATGATATTGATGGACTGATGGTTAAGTAGGGAACGTAAATACTTGTAATAGCCCTAAAAAGGGCCAGTGGCGAAACTGTCAGCTATTCCTTATCATTATTCCTGATAATGAAGAGCTGGCTGCGGGTAGCTTGACTCTTACCCTCGCAGTATCTGTATACGGAGACTGTGATGAAGGGAGGTACACCGCTGACTAAAGTATGCCGTTAGGACGACCACTGAGACGGAAGCCGTTGTCACTGCCCATGCTCCTCAAGGCTATCTTTCCTAGCTTACATTTGTAGTCAAAAATTCTCTGATGGCATTAGGTGGGATGGTGAAATGGCCATATAACTCTTAAGTGTTGGAGCAGGCTGTGCTCTGGCTAGATGCGTCTCCTGGTATTCTGCTGGAAATGATATCGGTTAGGATTTTTTTTATTGGTGGCACTCGTCAATCCTGGAGGCTCAGGGTGGATGTAGATCTAATTCTGTCACTTGCCCATTGAGGGAGAGTGTCATCGGTAACCAGGATACCCAGCTGCACGACTCTCATCTACATTCTCGATGCAGCTCGATGAACTGCCGGTAGACGACTGCAAATATTTTTGAGACGCTCTGGACTTTAATAACCACACTTATTTAATTCTGTTACAGATAGCTTCGATTTTATGTCGACACCACCTAGCAGATCCGACTGAACTAAAGTGAAAAGCTGTCGTATTAGGTGTGTATTAGGTGCGGAAGGTGCGAAAACTATTTCTGTCGTGTTTTTGTAAAACTTTGAGTTTACTTACTGCTACTGTTATTAAATTTTTCAAGATAAAAACTATACTAAAACCATTTAGTAAATTTTAAGAATCAGTATGCAAAATTTCAGCAAAATTGGTTCAGTAGTTTTTGCCGTTAGCGATTACTACGGTTTTAACGACTTTGCTTTGTATATTAGTAAGATCACAGGAAGCGTTGCCACGGGTATCCAGGCAACACAGACACGGTCGTGGACTAATTCTCCACCTCGCTTAATCCGCATCGTGCGCACCCCCTAACAACATAATTTATTTGCAATTTATTATTCTTATGAAAACTGAGATTTTTCTGAATATTACTTACTTATAAGGCTTACTCTTTTTGAATAACATTATATTCTAAATTGATTAAAATTGTTGCATTTTCTTTTCGTTATTTCATGAAATTCTTTTATAAAGTAAACTTGGTTAACACATTTTAATTAAAAAATAAATTACTTAAATTTTTTTTAAATACTTCATGTACTGTACATTATTCCCTATGTCTTTTTAAAGAGATTTAATCAAGTTCTCAAAATGCAGAGAAAACAGTATAATTTTTAATAGTAACTATGTGAAATGTAAAAAAATAATATTAATTTTTTGATTAATTTTTATTTTAATGAATGAAAAAAAAAAACCTTCATTCATTGCTGTCTTCAAGAGCTTGCATTAGGAGTTAAAATCACAAAAAAAAAAGAAAATTGCTGGTTTTGAACATTAAAATAGTCCACACAGTTTCTAAAAGTCTATACAATTATGGTTCAAAGTTTTAATACTTTTTCCCCGTTTTGAAAAGATCTTAAAACCTATTTCAGAAGACACAAAAAATTATCTCATACAATATAAAGTTCTTAAGAAAAGTATCGATAACTTAGTTTAAAGTAATATTTACTAACTAAAATCAGTTTAATATAAATTTTTTTTTTATTAAAGTGGATAAGATGATTTGAATTAATAAATCTCATTTGAGGTATTTTTAGCGCTTACATTTTTACATAAATACTTGTTACTATGAAATTAAATTTTCTTATTTAAAATGCCAATTCTAAAATAAAGTTCATGCTCAATAATACAGGAGTTTGTCGATGACTGCGATCCAATCTTTGCCAAATTGATAATTACTGCAACCGATACAATGTGGATATAGTCATAAAAAAACTAATCACATAACTCTACGGTTTTTCATCCAAGTTAACTATTTTATCATTTTTCTTGTCTTAACAATTCAGAATTGTTAAAAGTCCTAGCTCCAAATAATCATGTTAGTTTTTTTGGCTCTAGTTTTCATTTACATGATGATAGTTAATTTTATAGTTGGCACTATGGTCAAACTTTTTTTAAACTTTTTCTGTAACTAAATAGTATAACATCGTGTCACAAGGACACAAAGAGAAAACATGAGCAGCTAAAAGGCGTGGTCGCTGTATGTTGGTGCCCAACTTACGTATATTGTTATTGTTTCCAAGCGGGCACACTTTGCACTCAGAAAATTACTTTGGGCCCTGAAACAGAATAGTAGTTTTTGTCGGATACGTGCCATTATCTCTGGGGCTATTTTGCAGCCTGTGGGACCTGCGAAGCAGGACCCGAGGGACGTAAAGTAGCTGCAGAGTGATGGCGCTTATGTGGAGAATCCTATTTTTCCTACCGAGGGCACGCCCAACCCTCAAAAACGCTGGAGGTTGGAAAAGTACGTTTTTGAGGGTTGGGTGCGCCCTCAGTAGGAAAAATAGGATTCGCCATATAAGTGCCATCGCTCCGCGGCTACCTTACGTCCCTCAGGCCGTGAAATAGCCCTGGAGATGACGGCACTTATCCAACGAAGACTACTATTAGGTGCGGAAGGTGCGAAAACTATTTCTGTCCGGGGACCCAAAGTGATTAACAAAGCTTAAACGGTGCCCACGGGTGCAAAGTGGGAGTTGCACTTTATGTCCATAGTAAGAATATAATCTTTTCCACCTCCGGCACTTTTGACGGTTGGGTGTGCCTTTAGTCAAAAAAAATTGTTTAGCATACAAGTTACATCCATCTAGGGCTGCTTTACGATCCCTCGAGCCTACTTTACAGGACCTTCAGACCGCAAAATAGCCCCAGAGGCATTGGCACCTTGGTAGTTTTCGTGCTGAAAACTACCATGTAAACACTATTTTTTTAATGTTTTGATTAAAATTTTTTTTGGTTTAAGTCCATATTTTTCTCATCTTTTTCTATGCTGACAAAGTACGATTCAGTGAATAATTGCAATGGAAACATTTAAAAAGAAACATTATGCTTATTTACGTGAAGAACAATCTGCGTAAGAATCTTAACAGAACGTTATTTGAAAGTCGGAAAAGAAAGTTATTTAAATGTTGTACAACATGTTACACAATTTTATTTAATCATCGTAGTTATTCAACTAGAAAAACTTAAGTGACCGATATTTCGGCAAAAAATACAAAAACTTGTAAGCATTTAAATTTGAATAAAAACAATATTTTTCTGGATCATATTTAAATCCGCAAGATGAATGAAAATTGATTGTATTTTACGGATCTTTTTTGTCTCAAGGGCTTTATTAAAATTTTTCAAAAATAATTTTTGAATATCTAAAATGAGACAAGATTTGTTAGAAAATTTAAGACTTCTTTTTTCTTGCTACGAAATTTGTTCATTAAATAAGCTTATCTTGTTCTGATTTATGTGGTGAAGATGAGTGTTGGTTACCAAATTATAATACTAATGTATTATAAGTACACACATTACGTTTAAATTATAAAAATTAATTACAGTAAAAAAAGTTTTTGGAGATCAGTAGAAATAATAAACTAAATTTATAGGTGTAAGTATGAGTTCATACATACAAACTCTACAAATTTATTTCATTTATTAGAGTTATCTTTAATCTTGAAATATTACTGTTATCTAGTTGACTAAAAAATGAATTTGAAAACAATACTCACTTAACTTTGAAATATATTGAAATATTTTGTAGACGTAACCTTATATTAACCATTGATACCAAATTATTATGAAAAATAAATTTATTTATAGGAGAAAATCCAGGTAACGAAGGAGCTGGTAACACGGGAATGGAATCATGGTTTTGTGGATACGTCAGCCAAAGAGAATTCTAATACATGGAATGTATTCCAGGAGTTACTAAAGCAAGCCAATATTGAATATGATTTACGACCAGCATTAAACAAGAGGCGACAGTCACTACCCCCACCACAGTACAACTCGCGCTCCAGCATTGCCCAAGTCTCAATATCACCAGCTCAGCTTCAACATCTTGAACAGATACATGAAAATTCAGATCAAAGCTCAGAAAAGAGCCACAACTCTTGTAACCTATCGTAAAAGACTTGCCTCAATCTTAGCTATTAAACCCTAAGCTAAAACTTTACTCAAGTGAGGGATGCATCTAAAGTTCGTATAATTTCAAGATGTTATTTGCGTTCCATAACATTAAAAAAAACTGTTTGACGTTACGATAAGTCAATTTTTTTTATGCTTTACTTACTTAAGTCTCTTGTAAAAAAAACAGTATTTAAGTTTTGCAAAGCATTAAAAATCATTTTCCAAATTAGGCTTTCATTACAGCTGTGTCAAATCTTTGGTCTGAGTATTCATCCTTCCATTTATCTACCCACAAGTTTTTCTACCATTTATTGATTTATAATACAGCTGTACGATAAGTGCATAATATGCAGCACCTCCAGTACAGCATCAAAAAAGTGAAACTTGGGTGCCAAAATTTGCAGATGACAGACGACAGCTAAGAGAGAAAACTTGCAGGTCAGAATAGTTTCGAGGTTACTTAAGAAATATTTGTATACACACGTTAATGGCGTCATCTGCAAGCATAGTTGCAATAAATACTCACCATGAGTGCTCAGATCGTTTGACCTATCCCTTCCAACCTCCAATCCAAGCGAATATCTCGTTTTTGTGATCTTTCACGTAATATCTATGTATATTTATTGGCGATATACACTTTGATTGTGTTTTATTCTGGCACAAAGCATAAAATTAATAGCAACAAACTCTTAGTGATGTGTGAAGTATAGCAAAGCTATAACGCATAGTCAATATAAAATTGTTCACAAATGTCCATGGGTGAATGAGATTTGCAAGCAATTAAAACGAAATATGGATACTTTTTAGAAATGTATGTGGATTTAAAAAAATACCTCAATTACAATGTTGGTTGGAAATCAAACTACAATCAATATTTGATAGCATGGACGTAAAGTTTTGAGTATGACATGAAAAACCTTTCATTATTAGATTCATTCATTTCAATTTAAAGTTAAAAATGAAGGAAATCAAACTTTAGGACTCAAATGGATAATGTATGTAGAATTATTTTATCTGTGTGTGTTTTTGCGTAATTTAGTTACACCTTTACAAGCATACGCAGTATTCTCCTAACAAAGCAAGTTTAAGCTCTGTTGAAATTTATACTTGGCACCTTTTCATTCAAATACAGAGTGTATAGCTTAGCGTGCTAGTCATTTAGACACGTACAAACATGTCTAGTATGTATACGCCTCTAATTCACCTTATTAAGGTAAATATCCGTATAATAACCACCAATTTCATCATACTCTCTAAATTGGAAATAGTGAATAATCACCATTTTAAAGTGAATATTCACTATTTTGAAAAGTTATAAGTATAAAACTTTGAAATAATGAATATTCACCTTATTAAATTGTAAAACCATATTAACTATTTCAACCAGTGAATATAACCTGGATGATATAATTAATATTCACTTATTTGAACGCGAATTAATTCACTTTGAAACTAGTGAATAGTTTCACGACTTTAAATAGTAGAATGAATAATATTCCGAAACTTTCTGTTTTTCTCTCTTTCTTTAGTTTCAGCTGCTCATGGGAAATAGTAATAAGTCGAGTCCACACGTTAAAGAACGACACTTTGTTTCATCCGCGCCGAGGGTTGGTTACACTGCCAGCTCAAACAGTCAAAGCTACTTACAAATAAATATACTGATCCGCCACTACAGAACAATACACACCACATATATACAAAATAAAACTATTATAATCTAAACATGCTTGTCCGAAACTTTACTCGGGATGACATTTTTTCACACACAACACACACCATCAGTAACTCTCTTGAATCCTCGATTTCATCCTAAAATCTAAAATGAATATCTTGTGTCACAACATACACTATACTATATGCAAACTTAACGTCGTATATTTATCAAAATAACGTCAAAATAGTTGTTAAAAGACACTCTCAGTTACATTCGACCTTGCTCATTCAGCGACCCACACACGACTGAGCTGTTTTGACTCGAAAAAAAGTGAAATAAACGATTTTCACTTTATAAATAGTAAATTTCTGTGACTTTTCACTTTTTGAAATAGTGATAATATTTTTTAACTTAAAAATTAGTTAATATTCACTACTTTGAAAGTAACGATGTTGTTCACTTCCTATTTTCTTCCGAACAATAGTGAAATTTTCATTATTTCAAATTTAGAGAGTTCTTGCTTTTTTAATTCCTTTTCTTAACTGTAAGCTTTAACAGAAGAAATTTTGGTATTAGCTGGTGGACCATAAATTTACCATTAATATTCTAATTTTTAAATATGGTTCTTAACTGTTGAAATACTTTGTTTTATAAAAAAGTTATTAGACGACATCTTCACTTTAAAAATAGTGATTATTCACTAATTGTTAAGTTGAAAAATATTTTCACTGTTTCAAACAGTGAAAATTCATTGAGATTCACTATTTATAAAGTGAAAATCGCTTATTTCACTTTTTTTCGAGTCAAAACAGCTCGGTCGTGGGTCGGTATGGATATTCGTTTCAGATTTTAGGATAAAATCGAGGATTCAAGAGAGTTACTTATGTGTGTTGTAAGTGAAAAATGTCATTGTGAGTAAAGTTTTGGACAAGCATGTTTTATAGGTTATCATAGTTTTGTTTTGTATAGATGTGGTGTGTGTTGTTCTGTAGTAGTGGATTACTGTACCTACTTATATGTGAGTAGAATTGAAAGATTGTGTGAATTTTGTTACAATTTAATGTAAACAAAATGTTCTTCATTACTAACAAATGTGGGAAGTAATTTCAGAGCATGTACATCTCGCAGACTGTCACATAATTCAAATAAGCTAACATTTTTGTACTTTTTAAACCGTCAGATAAATGAAATTTGACGTCATTATTTTCTTTCGTGTAAGCTAAGGCTATTTTGCTCGACTTGTTGTAGGCATATGAGTTATGTACACAATAAAATTACTTTACACATTTTTTATAGCAAAAGAGATTTTTCACATCACGTTTTAATAAGCCGTGCTTAACTGTACGACAATTCTGTTAAATGTCATAAACACTTTTACTAGATTTGGTAGGTTGGACATCGTCTGGTATCCAGCCCGCTTTGCTGGCTAGAGTTCTGGGTGTCTTCACTCTCATATCGAATACATCATTTATATACTTGCAAATTGTAAAAATGAATAATTAAGATGTTTTTTCTTTAACTAATCATACTCTAGTAGAATATCAAATGGCTCCTGAATAAGCCAGAAAATTTTGCTTTATTTTACCTTTTCATTACTAAAGCTCTCATCTCAATTCTTCAGCGATCACAGTAGATCCATAACTTGCGGTAAAAAATTTGAATTTTCGGGTGAACTTGGCTGAAGTACGAAAAAACCTTTTTATCAATGGTTTTTTTTAAATACCACTACAACGTTTTATTTTAATTATATTTTTTTAAATACTTATGAAAAATTTTGGAAAAAACCCACGTTTTTCTTAGATCAGGGAGGGATGAGGTCCAAGCACAAGTCATGAATGACTACGTAGTGAAGGGAGATGTGTTATAAAATCTAAGTGCGTTGTCAATGTTTTAAGCCCCCCCCCCCTCCTTACAACGCTTCAGATAACAATCAAAGACGATACGATCTTTTACTTTTGTTCACACTTATATTTTTCCCTACCTTAACACTCTGCTTGCTTCTCAATGCTCTCAATAGAGGCACTTAGAATGGATTTTATCAGAGGCCAACCTGTTGAACTTGTTTGTTACAGAAAATATTGGCCAGGTGCAAGTGATGGAAGGGGATAGATGAGTCAACAACAGCGTGCGTAGTGGCGAAAACAGGAAACCTGTGGTACCAAATTACTGTCGTTTTTACTTAATTAAGGATAGAATTATAGTATTTCGTCAAATTTACAGATATTATCATCACGTATGCAGAAATAGTATAAATATTGTGAAATTGCAGTTACACAAATGTAAAAAAATGAGCTATGTGGTGCTAAGAACGGTTATAAAATGTTTGAATGTAACAATTTATAAATGAAGCCTCGTTAGTTTTCGATCCAGAGCACACTCTCAGAAGCAGACGGCAAAAAGAAAGATAAATACGCGAAATGAGACACGATCATTGTGTTTTTCATTATTTAAACGTTTATGAAATATGGGTGTAAGAAAGTGCTGTGCTGTTCAGCGTAACAGTAGCGCAAAGACAGATGGAGTAAAGTTACATAAATTTCGATGATTATCTAACTGTAAATAATTATTATTTACGTAACAAGTGCGGAAAAGACGATTTCCCGCACGAGTCGTAATTGACTCGCACGAGTGCCCGGCCACGAGTACGAGTCCATAACACGAGTGTGGAAAATCGTTCCACACGAGTTGCGTACAAGTTTTTTCGCAATAAGTGTGCTGAAAATAGGTGTTTTCCGGACTGATATTAGTGTGGAAAATCGATTTTCCGCACTAATATCAGTGCGAAAAACACCTATTTTCCGCACACTATTGCGAAATAGTAGTTTTTCTACGAGTTTGAAAAGTCTTTGTTTGCGAATCGAGAGGTTTGCGGCCCGAGCCGAAGGCAAGGTTCGTAAAGATGAGATTCGTAAAGAAGACTTTTGAAACGAGTATTGGAAAACTGCTTTTTTGCTCGAGGATGTACCAGCCTCCCAAAACCACCCGAGGGCGAAAAAAGTAATTTTCAAGTGCATTGTAACTTAGACTATTTTCAAAATAATCTGAATAAAACGTACATGCAGGTTAACTTTGTAGGGAGCTGAAGTAACCGAGGTCTGCCTTATCATGACGGCACTTGTCAAATTGCTAACTCTATCACTTAGCACTTAGAAATTCTGTAACATCGCACACATGACTACTTTCAACCAACTGTTTACCTTTTTTTAAGGCTTTAGAGTTAAAACAAATTGAGTGTGTGATATTCGTAAGGCCTCTTTTTATGATGTACATTATCAGATGAATAAATATACCAATTTTTCGCTAATTAATTGATTATTACTAAAAGTGTGCATCGGTGTATGCTGTTGACGTATAATGTGGGTACCCGCGGTCGCACGATTTTGACACCAAGAGTGGTGCTGCATGACATGCACCTGGCCAATTGCGTTGTATGTGT